TTCCTTGGCTCATTAGGCCATTCACAAGATTCTTTATTCCTGGCACGATGGCCGTATTTCATATTCCATACTTTCACCTCTTTCAATTTCAAAGATCACCATCAAGTATCAACATATAGGATATTTCAGAAATCATATACTTCAAATCCATTTGAAATGGAAACTTCAAACACAAATGGTTTCTTCCCAAAGAATGAGGCATACCATCCAACAATAGAAACACACATGAAAATCATAAACAATCAATACACCATTTATTCTTACAATGCTCTTCCCTAGCAATGACAATGTACCAGTTCAACATATGAGTATATAGAACTTGAATCACACTAGATATATTTATAAGGCAAAGCATTAGTTAAAGCAACCACTAATGGGCATGAATTGAGTACAAAAGCTTTTAGATAATTCTATCTTCGAAGTCATTTTTAAACAATTAAGTCGAGGCTCATTTCACATTCTTTATCGCATCTTCTCAAATCATTTGCACTACTAGACACAATCATAACTTAAATTCTTGACACGTTGGCCACACTCTATATCCCCACTTAACTTATTTCACTTCCAACTATCTTTATAGATTATCAACAATAAGGCATTTCTAAATCAAGACTTTAGGTATACATATGAGCAATTAAGAGTCTTAAGAATATTGAGATTTCTCACACAATTTGGTATACTATCTTTCATTGAAACACGACTCAAATCCATAACCTTTTAATACGCAACCCATACTTTGAAACTTACGGAAACATTATGGAATTCAATTCCAAGAGAGAAAGTTTAGCCAAAATACCTCAATCGAGCTTCCTTAACTCTAGAATGATCCGGAATTCTTAGCAATCTAGATCTATTTTGAGGCATAATAAAATTGAACCATATTTAGGAAGATATTCATGGTCTCATTTCATTTGAGCATTTTACAGACACTAGGTGTGCAAATTTAACTACAGGGTTCTTCTACAAGTTTTCCTTCACTCCATAACACAATCCTTACTTATTTCAGCTCAACAATCTTCCTACAATTCTTATTGGTACATGCATGTATAAATAATAATCTCATACCCATGAATCATACTCCTAATCAACCATCTTCTACCCAAATTCAAAATTGAAAACTAGGGTATGGAACATTACCTCTTAGATGAATAACTTGTGGGTTTTCCTTGTTAATCTTCCAAGATTTGAGCAAGACTTGATGAATAATTAGCCTAGAGTTTTCCTCTCTCTCTAAAACACTCTCCCTTATCTCTAAAATATTAGATTTTTGCTCAAAATGACCCAAAGCGTGTATTTAACGAAGTAGGGTCGGGTTTTAAAAACCCAAAAATGGAGCTCCAGAACAGGTTCTGCGGTCGCATATGCGACCGCATAATAGATATGCGGACCGCATAATAGATATGCGGACCGCATATTGGTCGCATAATTACAGACCAAAACGATCAAAAAGTTGTCCGTGTATGCGGTCACTATGCGGTCCGCATAACTGTTATGCGATTGCATAATGCACCGCATAATTGCCCCCAGACTCGCCCTTCTCCTGCTCACTTTTACGGCCATTATGCGGCCCGCAGAGTGATTATGCGGTCGCATAATGGACCGCATAAACGCGCTTTTCTGCCAAAAAATTTCCTTTACTTTTTGGTGTATTGTTCAACCCAAAAAATCCAAACCGCGGCGAGCAAGCTCATCGCGAAGATCTTATACCATCCTCAAATACGTAAGCCTACTCCGGCACCACGAAACCTTGAATTCACTTGCAAATTTTACGGGGATTTACCCTGAAATACTTCAAAATTTTTTGGGGTTTTACACTTACTATCCCCTGCCTTAAGTTTCACGTGTCATTCTCTTAAGTGGCCACTTAACATAGCTTACCGAATAAAGATAGTCCCCCTACTTTTCGGTGACATAACTTTGTGTCACCGGGAAGCTGGTAGAAACACTCTTTTTGGTGGGAACTACTATGATTACTTCTGAAAAGCTTCTGACGGTTGATTAGACACACGTCTCTCTGCATTTAATGCCCCGAACACGTATCATCCTACGATTCGGCATAGCTTTTTCTGGTTATCGAGGTAATCATTGCCACGAATTTAGCCGCCTAAACCTTTACTTATACGTATCAACCTTCTTCACTCATACTCCATAACTCTTCAAACTCCCTAAAACTCTCTTTATTATTCTTCCACCTTTCTTTAACTTCCTTTAAAGGAAAAAGCTTTTCCTTCATCCATAACATATAATGGCTTCTTCTTCAAATAACACCAACTCTTCAACGGGCAAGAGCAAAGCTGAGGACACTGCTCCTCCAACAGTGGGCACCATCATCCCTAGAAGTCTTGTTACAACAAAAGGCTTTGAAGAGAAATTCCCTTCGGCTAACCCTCGCACATGGGTCATTGGCAGATACTCTTCTTCCATCTGTCCTTCCAGTATTTCTATTATGAAGGAAGATTGTCGCTGCC